ACAAGCTAAAATTTATGTGGGATGTGGGTGAGTGGATAAAGGTGTGTTATGTGGACAGTTAAGAAAATTTTAGAAGAACAAAATCAGTGCATGTTTTAAACAATTCCTTCACACAGTATTCCAGGGAAGACCAAAACCTCTTCCAGACATGAATTTGCCACTCACTTATTATGGTTAATAGATTAGGTTCATGATCTGCACCCTCTATTTGGGCATTCCCACCGGTGTAACGGGTTTTAGTTTGTTGCCTGGCCTGAGCTACGTGACACTAACATGTCATGGTAACCACTCTCAGTGTCTGGATGCAAGCTCACCAAATGACTCTCTGTCCCCTGGGTCATCTCCTAGACCCTCCAGCTGTAGTCATTAATAAATGAGTTCAACTTGTGGCACAGGCTTCCTCTGAGTCACATGACCAGTGGAAGTGACAGCCTCCTACATTTTCAATGTGTAAAGTGTGGTGTGAAGAAGCAAATCCCCTGCCCAGGGTACTGTGCAAACCTCTGGGGGGACAACATGACCCTACAGTGGTTCTCACTCCTCTCTGAGTTAGCACTACTGGCTACAACATCTCAGAGATTTAAATCCTGTATATTAGTTTTCCTGTGAACAATCACAGTCTGAATGTCATCTACTCAAATATTTAAAAGAGCTTCCTAAATATAGTCAAAAAACTACATCTCTTCCCACTTGACTTTCCTTAAATCAGATACGAACTGTAAAATAAATGTGGGTTGAAAATCAATTCACATTTAACCCACAGAAGTCTTCTGAAAAAAGTTCAGTAACAGAAAAGTCATCTGCCAAGCATGACTTCCCCTTTAAGGCTCTCTGTCTGCCTCTAAGCAACTTTCCTCTCCCTCTGACAGTCTTTGCGTTTGCTCTCATTGTCATCTCCCCTGGAACAGAGAGGTCTTTTCCACTTGAGAACTACAGATCATGCATGCAGACAAGGTGAAGATATTCATCAGATCCTTACACGTTTGCCATTCCATCATCCAATACATCAGCCACTGGTAACACATGGCTATTTAAATTACAAACTAATTTAAAATGTAGTTTAACACTCTCCCTAGCCACATTTAAAGTACCCAACACCCAAATTATCTAGTGTCGACAGTATCAGACAGCACAGATGCAAAACATTTTTGTCATTGCGAAAATTCTATTGATCAGACTTGATCTTGAAACACTAATAGCAAGGAAAAAAAATCTTGGGAAAGAAGAAAAGACATTAATGAATTAATGAATGAAATCAACAAACAAATTCACTATATCTGGAAATAAGTAAGCCAAATTCTCCAAGTAAATGAATGTTCTACAAATCTTGAAATTTCATTTAACAATTCAATTTCTTGCTATCTGTTATATACACTGGCTGGATTATAACATTTTTGGATGCTAGAATAATCGTCTTTGGATTTTCTGAACATTCAAAGTTGTCAATCTGTTCCTTCTCATTTAGGTATAATCAAGTCTGAAAAGGTTGTAGGACTGTTTCTGGCTGTACTGAAGTCCTCTGAATGAAGAGCTAATCTCACATCCTCCAGCGGTGAGAAGGAGACCACCTCTTCACCTGTGGGGTTTCTATTCAGCTGTCACCCAGCTTGGCAGTCACTTCCCCAGAAAATCTGCTGAAACCTTCCCCTCCACACAACAATCCGGCATTAATCTCTCCCTGGATTATCCAGCTACCATTTTCCTGTGCCTACTTCCATAGCGACACAGCCCAGTGATCCTTACTTTCACACCTGTCCTCCCTGTCAAGCTAAATAACAAACAGAAAGAGATTCCCCCAAGATTAAGTTCATCTGGGGTGGCATTGCAATGGGAGCGTACGACGTGTCACAACAAACTGAAGGCACTCAAGGGGCAGAAGCACTGGGAAGTCTTCAAAGGCAAAACGAGGAGCAATGCACCAAGTATTCTGAAACACTAATCCTTGGCCACGAGGATTAAAATCAAGGATCCTTAAGGATCAATAACACAGGTGATGCCAGACTGAGATTAAACAGGCGACTCATGGGCAGATGTCTCGGAGGAAGTATTCTCTGTGAGGTGGCAGTGGTCTTTCTGCAAGGTGTGGTCCTCACAGGGTTTCTTGTGGCACTTCTTGTTATCAGTCATAAGCATGGGACTCCAACTCTACAACTTCCCAATATTATTATTTTTTGTTGTTGCACTTTGACAAAATGCCTCCGTTTTGATCCGTTTTGATCTTTAGAACTCTCCCAGTCCTAGGAGGCCAGGAGCTCCCTGGGGACAGGAGAGGGGCTGACTCATTTGCAATCCCAGCATCCAGCACTGTGTCTGGCACACAGAACACTCCTAGTAAACATTTATTAAACTGACCTAAGCAAATTGCACCCAAAGTTGTAAACCAGCTTCTCACTAAAAGTCTGCCTGTCAGTAGTATTCAGGGTAGAACCAATGTAATTTTTGTTACTTTCTACATTTAATTAGCAGACAGCTGAATTAATCTGAAACATTATCAGGAGCTATAATTCTGGCTATAATCCTGTTGGCTACCACTTTCTTTACCATAGTCGTTTCTCAGCTTTTTGAGAAAGGAAATCAGATTTGCTCAGAACAGACTAATTAGTGAGAAAGCCAAGTAAAATAAATAATGTTCAATCTGAATTCTTTAATTTTTTTTAAAAACATTCAAATGCATCAATGAATGATGGGATTTGGCTTTAATAAACTAAGACGATGAAAAGTATTGTTGGTATTTAAAATTCACTTTCAAACTGTCTCCAAAAATAGCAACTGTTTTTATTTCTGAGAAACTACTTTATAAAACGGACAAATGCTCAAATTACAAAAGAGAAGCCCAAATATGTCATATATTACCCAAAGATCATCAGTTCATGTATCTGAGTCCTTAAAAGCAGAAATTGATTAATTTTGATTAAAATGCTTACAGTAATCATCAAAACTTAAGAGATAATAAATGCAAGTCATAAAACTTAAGAAAATGATTTTCTAACCAGGAAGTAAATGCCTAGTCCTTTTTAATGTTCAATGATATCAAGAAGTCAACTGGAACTTTATTTTCCCCCCTCCAAGCTAAACTGAAAGCATAGTGATTCATTTATTTTTCATACTCCTTTTTTTTTGAAAATTTACTTTTAACTGATATTTAAAAACATAAAAATTGTCTATTAAGCAGGGCATTATGTAATATTTCCATACATGTATGCCTTGTGTAATGTTTAAATCAGATTAAACATACCTATCTCTTCAAGCATTTATCATTGATTTATGGTGAGAACTTTTGAAATCCTTCTGGTTTTTTGAAATGCTTCTCTTTATGGACAATCACAGTGTATAACATTCAAATCAAAAGAATAAACACTCTCTTTGAACTTGTCAAAGGACTGCATTTGTAGAACAGTTTTGTGACTCTACATAGAACACTGCACTAGAGATAAAATCTGAATTGAGATTTCAGATATCTAAATGCTTGCATATGCATTGTTGCATTTAATACAGAATGTTCATATACATGATTAGCTCAATTATTTGGGCAACATCTGTTCAGTTTACCTATTATTCATGACATTTCCCTCCCTTCTGTGTTTCTTTCTGGCCTGAAATTTGATGAGTTTCTTTCCTATTGATCTTATATTAGTGACAAGGTAGGAAAGAAAAACAGGAAGGAAAAATCTGGCTAATTATATTTTAGACATTTATAGTTACAGTTCCTTTTTAAAAATTAACTGAGGATTTTGAAATTGCTAGTTAAATAAACTAAGGCTGTAATAAGTACAGACGTTAATTTAAGTGATCGAAAGTTATTTAAATGTTTCTGACTTATTCAAATGTGCTCAACCATTTCTAATTAATCACATAATTACTTTCTAACTGTTATTTCCTTTATTTGACCCGAATGATAGGGATTACTATTCCAAATTTTATGGGTGACAAAACAGAACCATGGAAAGATGATCTGGCCAAGAAAAGGCCAGGATTTGAAACCAATTCATTTGATCCTATTCCCTGGAACCTCCAGTCCTCAAGCTTTAGCATCAGAATTTAAGAGACACAGGCAGCTGAGCTCCACCCCAGAAAGTTTCTGATTTGGTAGGTCTGGATTGCAACCTGAGGATATGTGCAGGTGCTGCTACCAGCCATCTAGAGACCACACTTTCAGAAACCACTGCTTTAAATCATGGCTACCTCCCTCCTTGAGCTCTTTCAACAGCCCTGAGGCTGGAAACCACATAAGAACAGAGAAATTCCCGTGATACCTCAGAGTCCCACTCTAACCACCCCCTGATACCAACTGACTGGTCATGACCCCAGTGTCTGCCTGTGGCACCTCACAGGCACCACATGAATTTGGAATGAACTGGCTTTCATTTTCTCATGGTATTAGGGAAAGGACAGATCTGCCAAGGGAAATGCAGATGTAATCTTTCTATAGGGTCTATTTTATAAAATGTATGATAGGTTTTGTCAATGAGACAGGAACCAACTAGGAACAGTGTCTGCAAATCCCTAACCTCTCAAGGAGTGCTTTCTGCCTCCAGGGAATCTGAGCCACAACCCGGTGCAGGTCTTTTAGGGTACTGTTCTCTTCCCCAACCACAATATTGCACAATATTGCCATCTGTATCAGCATGTGTTTCCCCCAACTTTGTGAAAGGAAACAGGCTTGCTCCCCTTCCTTAGAAATAAATTATTGTCCTTATATTGCTCACTCGAATAATTTCTTCAACCCCTTCAACTTTCCTTTTAGTTGCAGAAGGTGCCATTTTAAACGGGCATTATCCTGCTAATTTTATCAAACTATACTGGAATACAAATGCTTTGCTTTGCTTAGGAAAGTGCCCAGATTATGAAACCCACCTCGACCCTAGATAAGTAATTATCTGGAAAACCAAGATAATGTGAACTGCAACATTCTATGAATATGAGATCCAAATGGTGAAAATATCATCGCTGAAAGAAACGGATTACTGATAGTTGGTGAAGGTTCAAGGTCATGGTCTTACCTATGCACACTAGATCCATAAAACCATACATTCCATAGCAGATCTGAAAAAGGATGTCCTTCCTCTGCCACACTGCATAAGGGCTGAAGGCTGACCAGAGGAGCCACGTCACACTCGCTATTAAGAACAGGGATCCTAGGATTACAGCAATCATCTGAACTTTCTCAACCAGTGTTATAGAAATGCTTTGCCACTAAAAGAAAAACAGAGGCATGTGAGAAAAAGATGCTGTATATAACTCAAAAAGGAAAAAAGAAAAAGAACATTTTCAGCCCCATGTTTCTCTTCATAATGCCAGACCCCTTGCAATCTGATCAGTCCCCAAATGAATTTTTCCATTTCATTCAGGCAATAAAAGAAAGACAAGCAGATAAAGATTAATGAATTGCCTTAACTTCATTATTTTTAGTAATTCACCATTCTACAAGTTTAATCTACTTTACTTCAGATAACAGTACTGAGTGTGAATAGTTGAGGAATATTTAGTACCTGGGAATCACATTATTATCTCTCATGAATGCATGAAATTAAATTTATCTGACAATATATGGTAAGAACTCCTCTATTTGATATTATTTTAATTCTTAATACATCTGGCTCCTTAAAAGGGGGGGGGGGAAACTGTTGTTTTTGCAGAAACATGTAAAAAATTTTAAAAAGAAAAGTAAGTTATATAAGAACATCAGTGAAAAAGTCATTTAAGATAATACACAGTAAAAAAATCATAAGGAAACCATGAAATTTACATTATCTGGTAGTGGTGAATTTCTTCTGCACAGACATTACTGACTTTATTATCCAATGGGTAATCCATGAAGTCTTTTTATCAAGATTTAGAATTTGTACGCAAATGTGAGTATCTTGGAAACTCATGCATTATATTGGCATACACTATTCACTGGGTAAAGTAATTTGTTCTCCTAAATATCAGTATTTGAGAGGATTCACAGTACAAATGATCAAAAATCCTTCAAGGGTGCTACCAACTTGAGAGGCTTAATTAGTCATGTTGTCACTTTCAAGTGTCTGGAACAGAAACAAACCTAGAATTATCATTAGGATTTGCCAGTCAGCAACAGAACCCGACAGGATCTTAGTCCCCTCTGTTTGGAGTCCATCTGTGACAACACATGGCTGATCAAAAAAAATCCCAAGGTGCATGAAGCAGCATTATTTTAAAAGTGAGTTTAAGCAATCAGTGTCCACTGGATGAGTTTGATATTTCCTTAAAGGCTTAACTTACCTTAAGTCTGAATCTTGTTACTATCACCACCTCTAATTCCCTCCCTCCCTCATGGTCCAATCTCCCTTTTTGCTCTCATACATACATAATCCAAAAATAAATAATCTACTTATAATATTCTAAGTCCATACTTGACCTTGCATATTCAAGTATATTATTATATTCTGCATTTGTTGCAGATTAAATTCCAACATACATTTTAAATATTTTATATTCCAAAGTCGTTTTTCTTTTTAAAGACCGAACCAAACAATAAGCAGTTATTTGCTGGAAGAAAGATACTTCTGTTCATTTTAATGCAAAAATTCATTTATCAAAAAAATAGTTCTTGCTTTTATCAGTCTGATAAATAATTAAACTAGTTAACATAATTTTATCACTACAAATGAATCAATGTTGTATTCCAAACATGATTTTAGAGTTATTTTTTTTGTCTTAGCTTCCTGATGCAAACATTAATTTCAAACTGCCAGTCATCTGAATTTTAAAGCATTTTAAATTTGGGTTCAGCAAACAAATACAAAGTGTCAATGTCTCTGGTTCTTATTTAGTTTGATTCTCATTAAAATCTGTCTTAAATACAAGAATACAGTAACAACATAAAATGCCATCCTAGATGGACACTACCTAATCTGTATGCCATCTTACCCTTTGTCAATTTATTAATTGCATAATCAGATAGATGAGAATGGCATAGTAGATGACAGGCCACAGGACACCGTGCAGCAAGAGTGTCCTCTGTGTGTGTGTGTGTGTGTGTGTGTGTGTGTGTGTGTTTGTGTGTGCGCACGTGTGTGGTTTTCACAAGGTGTTCACATGCTCAAACACATACACATGAATCATAGTTGAGGGTAGCCAAGAGTGAGAGAGGAGAAGTCCTCTCTATCATCTATTTTTCTTTTGCTAATAATTCTTACGCTGCTACAGGTTCATTAGGTAACTTTAGTGGAGTTAAATTCGGGCAGTTCCATGTCACAGAATTCACAATATATGGCTTCAATTAGACCTTCTCATAAATTGATCTAAGCTTGCTTTCATGATAGCTGAGTGACAACATGGTAGCCATGGGCACAGAGTGGTGTAGCCCTTTTAGATGCTCTGATTTGGGAGGACTGTGATGACAGGTGGATGTGGCTTTGGAGTTTCCTGGGACACAGGATCGGGGTGGCCACACATGACCCTGAGGTGTCAGACCCCTCCGTGTCCTGTGTGGCATGCATCTAACTCACCAGGTAGAGATGCTCCTTGGAAGGAAGGTGAATGAATAAAAGGAGAGTTATCAGAAGCATGGATGCTGCCCACTTGTTTGGTGACACCAAATTTAAAATGCTTTGAAATTCAAATCTCTGGCAGTTTAGAATCATTGTGCTTCAAACCACACCAGGAAGCTGGGAGAAAAGAACAACTCTGGATTACAAAGCACTGGGAAGCTTAATTATTTCTATTATCATAGAAATTGTTTTTTGTCATGGATACAAGTAGCATTTTGAGTCTGTAATGCTTATTTTTAAAGAAAAATAAATTGTGCACAATCTGTAATGAAGAACCCCCACAAAGTTTCATTATATATGGCTCCAATAGTAACACAAACTACATCACTAATGGTGCAAATGTGCAAACGTGTTCAAAGGTAAGTCGATGCTCTTCATATACGGGTGAACCTTAAAATTAACATTTCACTGAATAGCTAGTAAGGATAAACCATCATTTTGAAATCAAAATTATTAAATCTAGTACTGAGAGTAGGTTTCCCCTTGGACATAACATCATCTTGGCAATGCCCATGCCCACCACTACGTGCCACTCTTTTGTATATTTACCACCATGTACATAGAGGGGACTGCTCCTAGTCTCCTTCTAAGAAGAATAAATGACTTCTATGGTGGGAAACCAGCCAGAGACCTTGCTATCAGAAGGCAGAATCTTCTTATGGAGCTGTGTTCATGGATTATTAGTTTGGACAATAAAAGTGGCAGATGAGTCACTTGGGGCTTCTCTCTCTATCCCATGGTACCCAAGATCTGGATTTAAGTTCCTAAGAGAATTCGAAACTTGAACAAATGTTTCAGTGGCTAAACACACTTTTCTCCCCTAAAGAGACATATAGGAGTGTGAGTGTGTCTGTGTGTGTTTCTGTGTGTATTTTTTTCTTCCATTTAACTTGATTCCCAGGTTTGGGTAAGAAGGTAATATGACAATAACTGGATTGCTTCTAAATAATTATTATCATTTTGTTTCCTTCCATAATATTGGAATGTGACTCAAGTTCCTGAAAAACTCTTTACTCCTATACAACCACGCTCTGCACCCACTGTTCCCAGCAAATGTGAAGTCAACGGGCTCCTCCTTTGGAAGCTCACCTCATTTGGTGCACAAGGAGAGACAGTCTGACAGCACCAGCTACGATCATCTAGGACCACTAACTGCCAGGCATCTCTCCAAGTTGCATGAATTAACTCTGAATCCCCACAACTACTCTATGAGGGAATTATTATCTCTACTTTAAAGATAAGTCAACTGAGGCAGAGAGAGGTTCAACAATTTGCCCAGGTTATACATCAAGTCAGGATTGGAGCTGAGAGACAGGCCAGGCCTCCTGGTTCCCAGATCTTGCTCTTAACCCTTAGGCTGTATAGCAATTCTGCTGAGCTTTGGTGACATCCATGGCACACATCCCATCTTGGCAGCATCATACCTTTTCCTGACTCCAAAAGCACCACATCCAACGTCTCTGGCCTATTGGACATGTCCTGATCCTGCATGCAACCCTCAGGGCAACATCAAAGGAGGGCTGTCCCTCTGAGCTCTATCAAGGAGGACAGGATATTTGGATCAGCATATATCCTCAGTGCTTGACCCTCAACTGTTACAGAAGGGTAAAAGAAAGTTATGGGAGGAGAAGAAGAGGAAGAGAGGGAGGAGGGGGAGAGGGAGGAAAGAGACAGTGGAGACACCCTTCAATTCCGCTTCATCTCTTTTTTAATCTCCCCAGTGCATGCACTCATTGCTTTGGTCCCTCTGAACATGTTCCTTCCCTGACATGCTGGCTCTTCCCCTTTTCCTACCTGATTCTGTCTTGTCCATTCACACCCTGGTTCTAATGGCACCTCTTCTAAAAATCTAGCCCTTTATGTCCTTCCCTGCTGAGTATGATCTCTCTTTCTTGGCCTCCAAACCCAGTGTTGATACATCTGCTTAGTATTAAGTTCTTTCTTACTTCAATGCCAGAGAGAATTTATTATGGTTTAGATGTGAGGTGTCCCCCCAAAATCTCATGTGTGAGACAACCAAGAAAGTTTAGAGGTGAAAATGATTAGGTTATGAGAGCCTTAACCTATTCAATGCATTAATCCCATTGAATGGATTAACTGGGCAGAGTTAGAGGCAACTGGGTGTGGCTGGAGGAGGTGGGTCACTGGGGGCATGCCTTTGGAGTTTTTATTTCATCTCTGCTTTCTGATTGCCACATCCTGAGTATTCCTCTTCTACACCTTTCCATCATGATGTTCTGCTTCACCTTGGGCCCAGATCAGTGGAGTCAGCCATCTATGGACTGATATGTCTGAAACTGTGAGCCCAAAATTAACTTTTACTCCTCTAAAATTGTTCTTGTCATGTCTTTGGTCACAGTGGTGAAAAACAGCATTTACCTTTCTATTGTTCGTAGATTGCAAGTTTCACAGTGGCAGGAGGTGAGTCTTACCCCCCCCACACACACACACCCTGACACCCCTGTGTGTTCACCAGGCAGCTGAACATACCCAGCAAATGCCTGACACGTGTAGAGTTTGATACTGTTTCCATCACCTGTCTGAACACTAGATGAACACACACTCTACATCTAGTCCAGTGTTGCTAAAAGGTAAAGCCTCAGTTCTGGAAGAACCATTTCTCAGTGAGCTGAAAAGTGAGAATTCAAACCCAGAACTACTTCCAAAGCCTGAAGGCTT